TCTTCCGACGTCTGATTTCTTTTTAAAAAATGCGTTTCTAAAGTGCATAAACTTTTGGGATTGATTATATAGCCAATACATCCTTAATTAGTGGTAACGCATGGAGAGTATTTATTTATTTATACACCGCTAAATCCCCTCTTATGCCAGAATTAATTGCAGAGCAGTAAATCGATGATCATTTCAGTGATTGAGTGTAAAATAAAGTGACATAGGAGAAAATAATGGTGAACTAAGAATAATGTAAAAGACTAACTTAAGTTAGTAGGTAATAAAAATTGAGTGAAAAGTAAACGCAAGCGCATGGGGATAGAAGTTAGTGAGAGATAGAAGACTGAAAAGCGAGAGTAATTTCATAATCAAATCGAGATCAAAGCAAGAGTATCTCTCATTAATTGCGCGGATTAGAGAGGAAGTAAAGGCAGAGCTTCCGTCGGCTCATATAATCCGAGAACGGTATCGGTTCGACGATGGACCGACCAAGGCTCGTTTACTCGAGGTAATCGAGATATGAGTCAAGCGGTGGTATTCGCGTATTACAAGCAACCTGTATAAATTACATAGAAGCGGAAGAAACGAGTCCTTACCGGAATGGGAATGCCAGAAATGAGTGCCGGCCTCCGTGGCGAGGTAATCGTACCGAAAAGTAGAACCAGGGGAAATCGGACATTGCGACACGTAAGGTACCCCGTCCATGTACGGCGTTTGGACGTGATGTTGTCCGTGCCAGTGTATCGTCGTACTCTCCGTATACAACAGATTTATCACGTCGACGATCACTCTGTCCCCTTGGCAGACCTGTCCAATCGACAACAACGAGTTGATCGAGTGACCCACGTACGAAAGGAGGTTACGCGTACGACGATCCCAAACGATATCGCCCTCACCGTTCCTACCTATGCCCTGCTACAAGCGGCAGCGGTGGTCTGAACGGCGAGACCAGCGATTACGCGTCGCGTGTCGCATCGCGGCGGAGTGGTTCGTGCAGTTCCAAGGTAGATCCGGCACGCTAAGACTCGTTTAGACTTGTACCTCGTTACATATGTACACGCGTGTAGATATCTCTTCTCGAATCGAAATTGGAATCGTCCTTTTTTTTCCCAATTTACCCATACCCCGGTTTGGAACGAATAAGGCTGGATCTGCACTATCCGTAACAGGACCCACCTGTATCGGATCCGTATTTGCACAGCAAGAGGTCCGTATATGGTTGAGGCGCCGGAACCCGGTAACGTAATTTTTATAATTAAACTGCGGATTTTTATGCAAGATGAAACGTTCGTGGTATTAGTTTAAAAAATTACATTTATTTTACCAGTAAACAGTGTAATAGGTATCTTTTAATATTCTGTATATTTTTTAACGTGACAAACATTCTTTGTACTCATTACCGATTTCTCTATGCATAAAATCCGCGGTCTATTTGTTATATATTATTATTTTATTATTACGGCATTTGATGGCCTCCGACGTCTCGGTGACATACAGAATTGGTACGGATCGATCTCGTGGCTACTAGATAGTGCGAATCCTGCATAATGCACGATCATACGTACTTGGATGGACGGCCCGGGCATTTGCCGGTTGACCGCCAGAATCGATCTCGAGAAGCCATTCGCGGGAATACAGTGTGGACGCTCGCAGTCCGTCAGATTGTACGGGCAATCGTAACACGCTTTGCTCATCGTATGGTAATCCTCCAACGTAAAAGTGTAATGACATTCCATCGGCGGCGCATCGTTTTCACAATTTCGCCGACAAGGATGTGTCGCCGGATCGAATTCGTCCGCAGTCAGCTCCGCGTCGGTGTCCACGACAGGCACGTCACGGTGGGCCGTTATTACCGTTCCTAGGCGAACAAGATTTCACAGTTTATTCGTTTCGTTTTACTCGCGAGAAACGAAGAATAGTGGAGCGACCATGTCATTGGTCTTTTTGTGAAAAAATTTATTCATTTTCATCGAAGGGGATAACGTAATGGTAAATGGTAAACTTTGCGCTCTACAACTTTTATTTGAAACTTTCTTCGATATCTATAGCCGGTTTCGACTTATAAGCAAAAACCACCCCAGAGGGGTGGTTTTCTACAACTACAAAAGCTTTTTGGCTTTGCACATTTGTTTATAAGGGTCAGTCGTAGCGTATATAAAAAATTCAGCCATTCGGATATAAGTATCGATTTCAGACCTATTTTTCTTGGACTATAATCTCAAGTGTAAAACTGTATAAAATCTGACATTTTCACATAACGTGTCTGTGGTTTTTTTGCGAAGACTGTATCACAATCCTTGTCAGATTGATAAAGTAAAACTTCCGAAGGCCTTATTTGAAACTGTCCGTCGTTGGTCCTACCAGTGAACGACGTTCGTCCGTTCGTAGTTACTTACCCTGTTTAGACAAACGAACGGCGAGCAGCAGAACGAATACCGTCGGAAACAAAATCGCTCCTCGACGATTCATCTTCGATCTGTAAAATCCACATGAGTGTAGTGAGAACATGCTCGATGCGACCCGTATTTAATTCTACAGTCCAGTGAAAAGAAATTCTTTTCGCTTTTTGTAATATCCACTAGATGATTTTTATTATAACGTTTCATTGGCAGAAACAAATCCGCAAGTAGAAGTGCTCTATCAAGTACTGTAAGCGAAAAGTAGCGGTTTTTGTAAAAATGCACGATTTTCGGGAAGAACAAGATAAACGGAGATAAGCAGCGATGGACGTATAACCGAGTCGATTCTATCCTAGTGAGAGAAAGTATACGAACACGATAAATCACGCATCGTATCATCGAACGAGCACGAGATCGACCACGCGTAAATTAAATCGTTGGCATCTCTTATCTAATCTGAACCGCAATAATCGTCGTAAGAAAGTGTGCACAGTAGGTAAATAAAAATTGACACCTCCTGCCTTGGCCAAAGCCACAGTACGTACGTGACACCAGTGCTTCTATTATATGCGCGATGATACGAAACTGCTTCCGGATGTGTCCAATTTCAAGACTAATCGTAAGAACACATTATACAAAATCGAATATTAATCATGCACATTATACAATCGAAATGATTAAAAAAAGTGACGAGCATGATAGATCGAAGGTGATTGGGGTGGGGCGCAAGGTACTCATTCTTAGTATCCTGATTGCGCGAAATACAATTTGTATGCACTGTTTGATTCTTGAGGATGTAAGAAGTTTCAAGGAAAAATTAGAGAGCGTGGTAGACGCTCGTTCCGATCAACTTTTATGCGATCGGATCATCCGGTATCCTTCGGTCGTCCTATACTATATAAATGAGCGATTTATCCATCGTTTGCGAAAAATTAGCACTTTTTCTCCAAATACGGACTCGAATACGGTAGGAAATCGTGTAACGAGATGCGCGTCGATTCAAGTAAATATATATATATACGACAATCGCCTGCTACTCACCTAAGCACATGACAATATCGCGACACGATTTCGTCAGAATCGTAACTACGAGAAAGTAAGATCGCGCAAGCCCGAGTTACTGGGGATGCCTCGATCGTTTCAACCGGTTACACGCCCGTCTACCGATTCCGGCCTGGGACCGTCCAAAGCGGACGATGTTTTAAGAAAGACTGAACCGATCTCGCGCCGTTCGCTCCTCTACACGCAGGACTCGCATTACGTATTATACATAATTGTTGGAGGTCGCGCATACCCCAACCGCGGACCGTTCTCTCACTTTTCCCAGCAGACGCGTGCCCACGATCCACGGGACTATGAGACGACGCGCGAACACGTACGCTCGGGATGCGGGACGAGTCAACGGTTTCGCGTTATTTCCTCTTGTAATCGTTCTTCCCCTATAGGGAAAATCCACTCGGTTTCTACGAGCCATTCTATTTCCAATAAACGCAAGGCAAATATTATGCATCGATGACGTATCGCCGTGATATTAACATCTCCGCGTACACTCATTGGGCTCTGCGTCCTCCGTTCCACGTGTATTTGCGCATACTTTGCGTGGATTTTCCTATCGAGAAGACGGGAAATCACCATCGCGCCGTTCATGCAAACCTACCGATGTCCATCGCCGGACACGTGCCCATATGTATGCAGGCGTCGTACTATTTATACGTATAGATACGTGAAGTATGAAGAAGCGAACGTTTAAGTTCCACAGATAGGGAAAGTAGTATTTGATCAGCGTCAGTGTACTGTACGTATGTACAGATGCGTTTTTATTTTGTAGTCTAGTGTCTGTCTAGTCTGCCTAGTTCAGCCATACTCAACATACTTATTGTTAGATTAGAATATAATTTCAATACTGTAGGAGCGTTAAATGACTTAAGGAAAGTCCGGTACAATGAAGATAAAAATAAAAGCTCGAGTTAAATTTTCCGTAAGTGTTCTATAATGAATGCCTTATTTCCGTCAATGAAATTCTATGATAGTCTACACAATTATTATTATTTATTTATGCTATCTCTTATCTATATTGTAGAGAATAAAAAAATCTATTTCGGTATTATTGCTGCTACGCATTTTACTGTTTCCAATATCTTTGTAAGGAATGTAGAAATAGATAATAATGATTGTCTGGGTTATTAAGATAAAAAATGTACTGATCGCAGCAATGATATTGAAATAGGTTTTCTTTCATTCTTTACAGTTTTCAGTATTCATACAGAGAACCAATAAGTTGTAGAACTGTTAAGATGGTTGGCGAGGTAAGATATGACTCCCGGCGATTATTAATATGTGAATGTACGTATATGTTTAGTCTAGGCACCGAAATCAATTTTTCTTGATCGAACCAAGGCAGAGACTGAGCGTGTCTTCCAGAACAAAAAAGTGCGTTAATCGTTGGAATATAACTAGATACATCTGTACAATAATCAGAAACAGTTGCGATTCTTTGGAAACTCTCGTTAAATGCAAGCATCTACGTACGACCGGTCGATTTCGATTCCACTTCAAAACGTGTTAGCGTTATTCTGTATTTTCTTTTGTGCTCCTGTCCACTTGTGAACTTAAATTAACATTTATTTCATCTATCGTTGCAAATTGAGTGTTGACTATGTATGACTTACTGCTTTGTATCTATCTGAGTAGACAAATTTTGGGAGAACACCATTTTCTGACCAGTAAATGAACAATAATTTTTAGTTACACTTCTTTAGCCAGTAAATGGCTAATTATTGGTCAGTGTATAATTATAAATGTTTGGTTAACAGATGGCGCTGCAGTAGATATTTTGTAGTCTCCACCCGATAATTTGACCGTAATTTTTTAGCCAGTAAATGGCTAGTAACTATACTTGCAGTCCCGAGGAGCGTTTCGCGCAGCTTGGAAGGTGGTGGAGGTCGCAGCGAACTCCCTCCACACGGTTCAGTATACACGGTACAGCATTGAGATGCTCAGAACGATCAAAAACTGAACTGAAGTATAGATATAACATACTGGCTAAAAAATTATAGTCGAATACTATTGGGTTGACAACTAAGTGATTGCGGATGTTGAATAAGAAGTCTATCGAAAAACTCCGCAGTTATTTAGTTACCAACCCAATAGTTATTATATAGCCATGTCTTTTTATTAATATCGTTCATCCGGTGGCGATAATAGTTTTTTGCAGGTGGAGGTACTTCGGACATTTGAAGGTCACCTCCATCTTTTTAAATGGATCGGTATGCTTTGCTTCCGTATTATGACAGAGGATCTTAAAACGAGTTCAACGACCTATTACATAAGGTCATAGAGACTATAGAAAGGCGATAATACTTACGGTTTTGGTAGTAAATGAAACACACGTATTATGAACAGTAGAGAAAGGCTCAATGCATATCGTTTAAGTACTTCACTGAGAATAAACACTGCTTGAACTTCGCTTTAATAAGTTTGCACAATAAGATAAACATAATAAGATTAGTATCGATAAATCGGTCAATTCGGCATGATGTGTCCGTTTGAAGAGCAAGTCGATATGCTTCTTATTTATCGCGAATAAAAAAAATTAACGTACTACATAGTGTTCAACTTTTAAACCATGTAACTTTTGTATGCAACATTCTTTCGTGCATCGCATATTTTGGAAGTTGTAACGGTGCACACGTTGCATGGACCACCCTGTATATTATGATTATAATAGGAAAAATCCGAGTAGAGAGAATCGTGCCCAGTCAGAAACCAATAAACGACCATTTTTTACTGGCCAGATTTTCATGGCCAGTTACTAGTCAGAGAATAGGAATTTCTCTTACAATTAGTCGCAATCTGGCTGTGACACAGCAATGAATAAATAAAAAATCAATTGATTCCTTCTAGGAAAAAACTTACTTAATCAAAAAATAGTACATTATAATTATTATAACATTATGTTTTAGGTCTCAAATTTGAAAGCTTATATCTGAATTTGTTTTAGTATTGTTTCATTATTATTCTCCAAGTTTATTCATTCTTTTTTCATTCTATTGCGTTGCATTGCAGATGACGTACCCAATGGCCATATTAATCCATTCGCTACTACGGGCGACTGTAGTTGCTCTGCATAAAATGCCACTGACGTACTACTGCCGTTCAGTGGGAGTACTGTGGGAGAATCCGCCCGTTTTGTTATTTTACTTGATCGTGTTTCCTACCCTATTTGACAATTTTATGTTGTTTGCTCAAGGATGGGTTCACAC